TCAACCCTGAGCCGGTGAGATTTGAACCGCTGAACTGCTGATCTAGCAGTAGCCTGCAGTGCTGCATTTAACCACTGCGCCACCTCGGCTCTAACTATAGTAGCTAACTATAGTAGAGATTGCTACTATATTTCTTTAGTATACTTAGTTTCTATATACATTTATTTGTAGGCTAGTTAATTTCATATGATATGTTTTATATTTTTTTTATTTCTCTCATTAACTCTTTAAATTACCCATAATTTTACATGTCCTGTATTATTGCATTTTTTCAGTACTTCCAAGTCTGCTGTGAAAGAAAGCAGTTGTGTCTTATTCATTGTAGCAGTGCAAAATATTCAAGGGCATATTTTTATAGTTTTCCTAGTTACGCTGTTTATCTCATTAACATGAGCAAGATTACTGTTGACCTTGAAACGTGTAACATTTTGCATTTTGACTATATGGATGAAAGTAAACATTTTTGTATCTGGCCGGGATGATATCCATTTTTTTTCCCTGACCTCTGCAAAGCATGCATTTATAACAGTCTTACTCCTCACATATATGCATAAAATGCTTGATTTACATTCTTGATCTTAAATCTTTATAGGGATTTGTTACCACGAGAAAAAGTATGCATTCGTACCGCTGAAACTAAATGTGATGTTACGAATGTGATATTTCAGAATTTAAAAGATACGTACATGGCACGCATATATTCTGAAATACCATACGATGAGGATAATTTGGAAACGCCTCCATATGAACTTTCTTCAGAGTTTGTACCTTACACACAAAGTAAGTATGATAAATACGATATATATTCCACTATCTTCAATATATTTATACATAGAAAGGAAGAATAGGTATACAGACTTTTTAAAAAAGATTTATAGGAAGGCAGTACTTCCTGTTAAATCATTCATTTTTTTGCAATTTAGTTTTGAGAGACTGAATATTTTACATAGAGGTAGTCTTACGACCATTCATTTAACCAAAGGTTCAAAGTTATGTCAGCTCTGGAAAAAGTGATTGATGACCTGTCCTCAAAGTTGCAACGGTCACATCACACACCTGCAGTTACATCATCACAATTCAGCATCCTGCAATTTGTGACCTTCCCAGCCAGTTCTCAACAAGTAATGTCAGTTGAGGATACAGATTCCTTAACGACTGCAAAATTAAGTCCAGTCACATGACGTCTCGCTTAATTCCCCGATTGGTCTAAGTTGTCATAAGTCAAGAACTACCTGTATAACATAGGGCTCTCCCAACATTTAATGAAAGGCTAAAAGGGACGAAAGGTAATTTATTCAGGTGGAACAAATCAGCATTAGATTTAATCATTTGTTTCATTTTGACGTATTGTTGGAGGCTGCCACTGCCTCCTTCCTAGGGCCGAAAGAGGGTTCCACCACAAAACCGTGCTCGACTAAACTGCGTCCGACTAAACCGCGTAGCTGACGTCATCAACAGGGCGACAACAGCGCGGAGACAGAAGCACGCTGTAAACCCTAAACCTAAAATTAACCCCTAAACCTAAACCTTAACCCCCTAAACCTTATCCTAAACCTAACCCTAAACCTAACCCTTAACCTAACCCTAACCCTAACCCTTAACCTAACCCTAACCCTAACCCTTAACCTAACCCTAACCCTAACCCTTAACCTAACCCTAAACCTAACCCTAAACCTAACCCTAAACCTAACCCTAAACCTAACCCTTACCTTAAGTTGAATCGGCTTGCTTTCAAAGCGCTATTTAAAGCGCCCTTCTTTCTCCGCACTGGCTATTGTCGCCCTGTTGATGATGTCAGCGACGCGGTTTAATCGGGCGCGGCTTAGTCGAGCGTGGTTTTGATGGGTCACGCCGAAAGAGAGTATCTGGCCCACGATCGCCCACAACCAGCATTGTGTCTAAGTGAGGGGGGGGACTATAACTCATGGTCTCCTAGTTTCTAGCCTGGTGCCTCAACTATAAACCTCTTCTGAAAAACCTTGCCAAGAAAACTGAAGGGGCTTGTTCAGGTAGTCACCAGGAATCAACACTCAAAGGCCCGCAAACACATCTTATGCAGCTTCAGTCATACGCCATATTTTTATAACAGCCATTGTAAATTTACCCCCCCCAAAAAAGAAATCTGAAATAAATAAATGTTTGCAGTTAGAACTGTAATGTATTTTCCCCCAATTTATGACAGCTGGTTAAAAAAAGGGGGGTGATATTCCTTTTTTTTCTTTTGTTCCTCCCCATTCTATACAATCTCAATCTTGCCCAAGATTTACAAGCACCTTTTGAAAATAATAGCATTAGTTGTTTACTCCTTTTACATTATTTTTTTAAAAAAAGTCAAACTTGGTCATGCTTCTTTTCTAGCTGTGCTTGGAACGCCAACCGTAACACGCTTTGAACAAAAAGATGAAATTCTAAAAGTGGAAGTAGCCGATCCACTAACACCGTATAGAGTTAACGGTACCTTGCAAACTATCAGGGACATATTCAAAAATGATCTGGAATATCTGTTACACTACTGGAAGGATCAGAGCACGGGCAAGGTGAGAACCTAGTTTCTAAGAAGGTTTAACTTTGGCTGGTCAGCATTAACACTCGCTTTTTAAAACTCATTTGAATGTAAAACATAGTTCGGTGCTGGTTGACGTTTTTTGTTGTAGAGTGGGGTATGGTTCTCAACAATAAAGTTGAGTGGAATAAATTAAAAAAGCATAATTACAGCTAGTCCTTGACTTATGACTACAACTGAGCCCAAATTTTGGGGGTGCCAAGCAAGACAGTTTGTCAGCGTTCCGATTATTGTGCCCATCAAAACCAGAACTCTGAGGCACATAGATTCCACAAAGAACATGTTTATTACACGCGTCATATTAGCACAGACTGTGAAAGCTAACTGTGAGAAGTTTCCCGTGTTTGCAGCATAATTAAAAGTGCAATTGTCCCAGGTCACATTGTCCAATTACGATGTTTGGCGGCTTCTCCTTCACCTCTTAGGATGACCTTGATTCCCCTGAGAAAGTTTTTTTGTTCTGACTGCTAGCCAACCTATCTATTTCCCTCCCCCCCCTGCTCCAAAGTTCGTGGCAATTATGAGGCGGCTAAAGATGGCTTCATCCAGCTTTGCTTCAGAGTTGACACAGCTGTTAAGTACGTTTCGCCCCATTTTATGACTTTTTTGCCACAGTTGTTAAGGGAATATGCAGTCATTAAGCGAGTCTGCCTTCCTCCATTGACTTTGCTTGTCGGGAGCCAGCTGGAAAGGTTACAAATAGTGATCACATGACCTCAGGATACTACAACATCAATACCTTCCAGTTGCCAAGCGCCCGAATTTTGATCATGTGACCATGGGGATAACTGCAACAGTTCATAAGTCATTTTTTCAGTGTCATAAATTTGAACAGTGCCTAAACGAAGGTTGTAAGTAGAGGACTACCTGCAATATATTTGAAAACCTTTATGTTAATTTTTGGATTAATAGCAATAATCGTACACATGCTGCTGTTACTTCAGCACAGGTAGCCAGATAATGCTCAGATGTATGACAGCAGCTGAGTTCAAAACTTTCTGTTGCTGAGACATTTGCTAAGTGAATTTTGCCNACTAGTATAGATCTATTTCAAGCTATTTAGCTCTCATCAGCTAGCCATACCCTTACCGGGAATCGAACCTGGGTTGTATTACATATTAGGCAGTTATTAGCTAATCAGCTATATTTACCTAGCCACTATGGATTTGTTTGCTGAGAACTCATGCACGCTGTAGACCAACCTACTAGAAAGATATCAGGTTGGGAAGGTTTGACTTATATTCCAATTTCAATCAGACTTTTTTTTTAAAAACCACGATCAATTATTGTGTTTATAATATTGTTAGAGCCTTAAACAATTCAACAGTCCACGCAGAATATTGTAATATGTGGGAAAACCCCTAAGTCATATTCCTCTCTATACATTTTCATACAGGTAGCTCTGCGGTGCAGACAGCGGTAAACATTACTTGGTCCTCAATCAATTTTAAGACTCTTCTCCACTGGGATCCAAAGCCCGTTGGTTATTTTTATTCAGTTGAAATCGACGGGTAAGTTAATGTTTGGAAACACAACCATACCTTTCCTTAGGTATCTTTGTACTTCATCTGTTGTAATGGAGGAGTTTGAGAAATAACAAGAATACATATATGGGAAAAAAACATCTCGATGATGTAGCTTAATATTGGACATGAATTGATACTTAAAATTAATACTGTTGATTCCATATAAGACTATAATTTGAAGCATACCTGCTTACATAAAACATCTAACAAGTGTATAGTGTTGAAAGAAGAAATCCAATACTTTCTCATCTACATTTTCGTAAAGATCTCCCTAGATAATTTTTAATTTCACCCCTCCTATGGGATGTCCCCTAGAACTGCCCCAATTTTAGGGGTAAAATTGAATCATATCACCTCAAGTGTTGAATCAGCTGTGTGCTTCAAACTTATAGAAGGTGTCTTCTGTTTATATAGACATAGGGCCCAGATTGAAATAAACAATCACTCTGATCTGGAGTTTCATAGGGAAATGCTTTGATTAAATATCAAAAGTTGAGGTTCATTGAAGCAATAGCAATAGCAATATAGCAATAGCAGTAGACTTATATACCGCTTCATAGGGCTTTCAGCCCTCTCTAAGCGGTTTACAGAGAGTCAGCATNTGGTGGAACCTCTTCTAACCGGTTCGGTAGATTTGACGAACCGGTTCTACCGAATAGGTGCGAACTGGTAGGAACCCACCTCTGATACATACATATATACATACCTACATACCTACATAAGTCAGGCAATCATTACTAAAATAGTCAGAATAATAAGTAGTATAAATACAATGGGTCCCACAAACACATTAGTCCCAGGCCTGAGAACCAAGCTAGATCTTCTGGATCACCAAAATAGCAAGGATGCTGTACTAGAAACCAATGGTAGTGACAGAGAAGAAGACATATTTCCTTGGTCCCACAAGGTGGCAGTGTTTAAGTGAAGGAACTGGATTGCACGCACCCTGCCTGCGTGTGCACAAATAATTGGAGATATGTGGTCCCTCAAATAACCAGATAGATAATCAACTATGCCATGAAGGGTTTTCTGGTGATGGCCAACACCTTGAATTGCATCCAGAAGATTCCAGGCAACAAAGGCATCTTACGTAGCAGCAGTCCCATATATGCATAATATGAAGTGCCCATTACCATACTTAACTTTGTTATGCAGGATTAAACACCACGTAAGAACCTAGCCAATGTGTTGGTACTAATGCAGAATCTCTTAAATATTCTAAATATTCTCTAAATGTATGGTTTTTACATCTTTGGGGTTATAGCCCAATGGACAAGTCAGAAGAGATTGTGAGTTACAATCTATTGATTATAGGAGACTGCTTTATGCACAGTATACAGATTCAGCCTACCTGAATTGTTGATTCAAGGAGTCTTCTGCTGCATGAGGAAATAATATATCTCATTTTTAAATTTGGGATTGACACAAATTAAACCACATGAACTGTAATCCCTGCAACCTTTGCAATGAGAGCCAGTTTGGTCTAGTGATTTAAGGCACCGGGCTAGCGACTAGGAGGGTGAGTTCTAGTCCCACTTTAGGCATGAAAACTATCTGGGAGGCTTTGGGTTAATCACACTCGCAGCCCATCCCACCCCATGTGTTGTTGTGAAGAAAATAGGAGGAAGGAGGAAATAAAAATAATTGGGATTACATATGTGTGTGTGTGTGTGTGTGTGTGTGTGTGTGTGTTATTTGTGCTGATAAATAAATAAAGGGAGACTAGTATAGATCAATAAATAAAGGGAGACTAGTATATATCAAGCTATTTAGCTCTCATCAGCTACCCATACCCTTACTGGGATTCAAACCTGTGCTGTATTGCATCTTAGGC